AACCTAATCTTGTACCATATGGTAGAAAACTATATGAAGCAAATATTCAAACCAGTTTGTTAAGGATATGTAAGTGAGAACCAAGAGTTATCACTGTTTGGATTTATTGCCCAAAAAGTGCTGCATATTTCATTCCCTCCGTTACCAACATGAGTTTTTAAAATTTTTTGTCAACAACTTGAAAGAATATCACAGGTTTAACTTGACCCTGTTGGAGTGTAACTCTTTCCTACATTCTGATACTTTACTTATTTCAATAGTCCCTCTAGTTTCTGAATAAGAGACATTTGAATGTAAAACTCTGCCCCTGTTTCCCTCCGTTACCACTTGACCAGACCCATAAATAATATACGTATATAACACACAGGACACAACAGTTTTTTTTTGTTTTTTTTTTACTGAGGATTTGCTCAGGGACGTCCACTTAGCTCTACTGTCTGTCTGACTTTTGGGCCGTGTTGTGCTCGGGCGCTGTTACCTGTGGTTCTGTGGTCCGTGTTCACACTTGCGCCGTCGCACGGCTGATGTTTGTTTGCATGTTGCGCAGCGGAGTTGGCGCTTTTGGCAGGGAGGGTGGGAAAAGCGGCATGAAGCGTCTGTTGAGCGGTGGGACTGATGTTGTGGTGCTCCTCTGTGGGTTTGTGGATGTGGTGTTGGTGCGGGGGAGAGAGGCTGTGGGGCTTCTGTCATCTTGTTTTTATTTGGTAAGATTTTGTAGTATTTGTATTTCATAGACGAGCGTAAATGTTCCAAATGTAATGCACATGCAAACATATAATATCAAATATACAAAGTGTAGATTGTGCAGAGTCGAGTCTCAGGTCTGATCTGGTTCTGGTCTGGTTCCTGATTTGTCCAGTTCATTAAGTTTACTAAGTTACACATTCCAAGACCAGACTGTGGTAAAAGTCAAGATTTTCAACAATGATGGTTCATGGTTAGAAAAGTTAGTCAAATTAAAGTTTTGGACATTTGATTTTTCACAAGTTCAGCCCAAATATTACACATGAAATCAACACAATCTGACCTCGCACACATCCTGGATCTTATTCTTTGCTCTTAGTTCATTTTATAATTTTTATAGAAGTATCGGATCGGGACTCGGTATCGGCAGATACTCAAAATCAAATGACTCGGAGGCAAAAAAATATGATCGGGACATGCCTAATTCTAGACCAAAATCAGCCTTTAAATCGTCTCATTACGTCCAATTAAAGGTCCAGCCAGGATATCGGATTAACCAATATCCTGAAACTGGTACATGAGGCGACAAATTTTTCAGTATCAGCGTTGATATTCGATACTTGCATCAGTATCAGTGCATCCATAATAAAAATGTTGGTTACACCTGCCACTGAGTAAGAGTATTAATTTGAATTTGGACAGAAAAAAGGCTGCCAGTGTGTGCTATACTAAACTATATAAGTGTAACTTTCTCAAAACTTCCAAACTAGTTCATGATATCAACAGGTTGAACAGAGTGTTTGAAGATTTAAGTACAAAAAAAAATCATTTTTAAAGTCCTACCAGATACTGCCCCGTGTAAATAGGCATATAAAAGTCTATTTACATGGGGTTAGATTTGAATTGATTCATGTTTGAGCTCTGTTCTACTGTATTTTTCGGAATATAAGTCACACTTTCTGGGAGAAATTTATCTTGAATTCAAGTTCTAGTAAAAACAATAGAAGAGAGAACAACAGACTGTTAACGTCAACAGTTCTTCAGATAAACTATAACATAAACAACAGAACAGAACAAGTTTAACAAACTCTCCATCTCACTCCAAATCACTAAATCCATTCAATTCTTCATCCTCGGTGTCACTTCTGAGCTTCACCGCTTCCTCTTCTGTGTCGCTGTCGTCAGACTCAGCATCAGTTCCAGTTAGAATTATTCGGGTCTTTCTGAATCCCGACAGGATGGTTTCGGTGTCACTGAAGTCCAGGCTTTGTCCATCCATCCAGTGACTTCAGGAAAGTTGCATGTTGACATCCTCCCAGTTTCTCTCTCACTCCAAACTTTCTTTCTGCTACTCGATTTCCGTTTTCAGCTGCAGATTTCACAACTTGCAGTTTGTAATCTGCAAAATCTGATTTTCTTTTCGGGTGCATTTGTGTTCAGTCTTCTCAGTCATCTTTATAAGTTTGTTTAAATGTTAAATCGTTCAGCGGTGCAGAAGTAACGGTGCGATCGACTGACATGATACAGACAGGACAGAGGCTCTTTCTGCAGGAGACATGCGCAGTAGAGCCAAGTGACAGTGGTACAGGAGGAACAGGAGCAGCAGATACTCACACACAAGACTAGAACCTCTCCACGCTTCACTGAAACATTTAATACATAAGTCGCACCGGAGAATAAGTCACAGGAAACACTGAAACGATGAAAAAAAGTGCAACTTATAGTCCAAAAAATACGGTACATCTGGGGCTGTTAAAAAAGAAGAAATAAAACTACGAATTCTACATTTTTTAACTGAAAATCAACAGTCTAGATTCTTTTACACAACCATTTCATCAGTTTGCGGTTCACAATGACCAAAGCGTAAAATAATCATCCGCGTATGTTGTAGTTTGTTACAAAGTACAAGGGGAAAAAAAAGTGCATAATAGTTCTCTCCTTTAAGTACGTGTAATGTAAGCGACTGGACATCACAGACTGGAGCTGCACTCACCCGAGCGTAAACCCAAAAGTCTCAAACCACATGTGAGCAGCCGGAATGTCTGAGCCCGGTGCATTGTGGGAATCCGGCAGACTCCGAGGAGAGGAGGAGGGGAGGGGGGCGAGAGGAGGAGGAGGAGGAGGAGGAGGGGTAAAAGTTTCGGGAATCAAAGTTCTTTGGAAGTGTGTGATTCAGCGCCCACCGCATGAGTCACGGACATGTCACTGTGACCAACGGTTTACAAGAAAGTCCCGAGTTTGTGCAACGATGGTGAAAACGCGGAGGACTGATCGTACGAAAGTGTGAAAATGGTTAAAGGTTCGTCAGTAATAACAGAAAGTCTTTGCGTACATGTTATTTTTATGAGAAATAAACCTGGCTGAATCTGGATTGGCTCCCTTTGTAAGAGATCAGGAAAAAGGCGAAACGTCGTGACACTTCTTCAAATCCAAATCGACATTTTACAAACAAAGCAGTTTCCAAAGTGCGGCACAGAGATCAGAAAATGAAGACAACCAAAAAGGTGAACTGCTAAAACTTGGTTCTAACAGTCCTAAAACAACCAGTAAAATAAAATAAACGCAAAAACCATAAAAATCATAAAAAAAAAAAAAAAAAGGTTACGTTTATATGATGCAAAAGCGGCGTCGCGTCTTCACTTTTTATTTTAGACAAGCGTTTTCTGGAGGAAATCTGCGCGCAAACGGTGACGCAAAAGTGTGTGGGATTCGTTCCTTCGGGCGACGTCACTGGCCTCTGGGTATTAATCATCATTAGTGTTGGGAAGGTGACTTTTAAAATGTAATCCCCTACAGATTACAGATTACATACACCAAAATGTAGTTTGTAACAGAATCCATTAAATTACTTAAAGTGAGTAATGTAATCTGAATACTTTGGATTACTTGGTTTGTTGTAGAGAAGCAAAGACCAGGATATCGTAACATAAGAAGTTTTGTCTGATAAAAGAAAATAAAAAGTCCAGACGTTACTGAACCAAATTTAAAAAATATTATTGATAGAAGACGAGGAGACACGTTTTAGTCCTGTTAAATCCTGTTTTAGACCTGATTTAGGCCTGGTTTAGTCCTGGTTTAGTCTTGGTTTAGACCTGGTTTAGACCTGGTTTTAGACCTGGTTTTAGACCTGGTTTAGACCTGTTTTGGTCCTGGGTTTTAGACCTGGTTTTAGACATGGTTTAGACCTGTTTAGAGTTTAGACCTGGTTTTAGACCTGTTTTGGTCCTGGTTTTTAGTGCTGGTTTAGACCTGGTTTTAGACCTGATTTAGTCTTGGTTTAGTCCTAGTTTAGACCTGGTTTTAGACCTGGTTTAGACCTGGTTTAGATTTGGTTTGGTCCTGGGTTTAGACCTGTTTAGACCTGGTTTAAAGCTGGTTTGGTCGTGGGTTTAGACCTGGTTTAGACCTGATTTAGTCTTGGTTTAGTCCTAGTTTAGACCTGGTTTTAGACCTGGTTTTAGACCTGATTTAGACCTGTTTTGGTCATGGGTTTTAGAGCTGGTTTAGACCTGGTTTTAGACCTGGTTTTAGACCTGATTTAGTGTTTGACAATGAGTGGAATTACCGAGAAAAAAGGAAAAAGGGATATAACCCATAATATGAAGTAACTGTAATCCAATTACCGCTCATTGAAACAGTAACTGTAACTGAATACAGTTACTCATAATTTGTACTCTGATTACATAACTCCGGTACATGTAATCTGTTACTCCCCAACACTGTTCATCATATGAGGCTTCTGAACCGCTCTTGGTCTGACCTGTTCTTCAGGACCTGTTTGCCTTGGGCACTCAGACCCCTGCACCATGTTAAGGCGGCAGGTCAGGGAGGGGGGAATAAGTCTTTTATAAGTATTTTTGTTATGGTGAAGTGTAAGTTGACCTGTGCCCTGTGATCTCCTTCAGCTCTTTCGTTTCGTGCGATGAAGCTGAAGTTGCTGAGGCAGGACTTTCCACAAACCCCGCCGCTCTGACGTCAGGTTGTGTTGTTGCCGAACGAGTCTGAATCCAAAGCAGAAGTTTTTGTTTGTTGTTCATGGGAATGTTTAATCTCTGTTTGTCATTTGTCGCATAAATCACATGAGCACGGCGCCGCTTCTGGCTCCATCGACTCACATTTAAAAATTGTCACTCCTCCTATTTCTAATGTGGGACTCGGCTCCAATGAGCTTCACTTGACTGGAGCCGAACGCTTCTTTATCCACTCTATGGCTCAAGAGGATCATAATAATAAAGTCTCCTTAATAGTTATTTGTTGTGTTCTTGTTTGCTGTTGCACCTTTAATAATGAAACCGGTGTCTCTTTTTGTGTTTCAGTCCCGAAGAAGCTGCTGCAGGAGGATCCCCGTCCCCCGGTGTACGCCCCGCCCCCCAACGCCCATGACCCCAACATAGTGGGAGACAGCGCCCCCCCAGAGGGCAGCTCCGTCAGGACAGGTGAGGACACACACACTCAAGTTTGATAGGCTTATTTATTTATTACTTACACATCAGTGAAGTGTGTGTTTTTTGTTGTTTTTTGGTTTTTTTTGTGAGGGAACATGATAGAAAGCAATTTTGCATAATACCCTCTTAAAATACCGTCTTTTTCGGACTATAATGTTGAATTCTCTCGTCTATTTTCATACATAAGTTGCACCGGATTATGAGGCGCGTTAAACGAAACAAACGGACGACACTTGAGGCTGATCCTTAGTCCAGGCGTCCAGGATCCATCGGCAGATCGTGGTGTAATTCGCTCGGCGTCGTCTCTCTGTCTATGTGAATGTGGATTATGAATGTGAATGTGGGTGGATCATTTAAGTTTGTTTTTTTTTTATTTCCTAGCGAGGACGACTCAAATATACACTGAGTAATAATGTGTTTAATGCAGCTTTGCGCACATTTGTTTAGGCTTTACAGAAATGAAACTTAAAACCACATGGCTCATTTGCATAAACTATAAGCTCTGAAAAAAAAAACAGCTCGCTCCTTGTGCTGCTGATGTGGTTTCAGCTTCTGTCGGACTAAAGGACACCAAAGTCGTACTAAAACATTTTGACAGATTTTTGAGCACCACATATCACATAAAATCAGTTCGAGGTCAGTAAACACAACTAGTACTCGATATTTTTAAAAACTGAGACATTTCCCTTTGTTTGTGTCCGTCTTTTACACACAAACGGAGAATTCACCTCTGAAAATGAGTCTTTCTAAAAACTTTGGCTAGAGTGGAGATTCTGGAAAACTCCGGTTTGGCGTTTGTGTGGAAAGTGAGATAAGTGGAGTTTTCCCTTTTGCTCTGATGATGATGATGACAATGATGAAGCATCAGAGCATCAGTCACATTTCTTCTGGTGAAACACTTTTCATGTGTTTACATTTGCACACACAGCTGATGTTTCATATCCATGACTGGCAACCAATAAGGCTCGGAGGTCAGTGATTTTGCCACTTCTTTAACAGATCTGTGGAGAGGAGAGCCCACTCACTAATGCACGTTTTTCAAGGTATTTTTAAGTAAAACTTACAACTGTGATGATATACCGTATTTTCCGGGTTATTAGACACGCTCTTAAGCCTCTAACCGCATCAAAAAATGACTGCGCCCCACAATCCAGAGCGCCCCATACACGAATCCACTCAGGTGTCCCAGCACGACTTCGGTAAACTACAAACACACACGGAGCAGACAGCGACCGCGTGGCGAAAAACGCCCGCAGACACACTCATCACTCCACGCCGACGAGGAACGGAACGGAGGAACGAACCGAAAAAGCGAGCGCAATGTGCCGCTTCTAGACACGACTGAACAACTGAGTCACTGCGAACACGCCGACAATCCGTTGGTCCCAGACAGCACCCTCCCTACACGCCACAACTGAACAAAGCCCAGAGTCACCGTGAACGAACAAACAAACAAAACCACTCACCCATCACACTGTTGTGTTTCCTTTAAAGTCCAGTGCGTGCAGTTTATTTGTGAAAAAAGTTCGAAAATAGACCATTTAATGACAGTGCGTCTTATAATCCAGAGCACCTAATAGCAGAAAATACGGTAAATGCTACAGATTTGAATCTAATCCAGGTGTCGCCCAGAGGTTTGGTGTAGTTATGACGGCGCTCGATGGAGGATTTATGCGGGTTGATGTAAACGAAAACTTTTTTGAAAACAATGCTGTTATTTTGGAAAATGGAGGGAGGGAAATGTTCGTTTCTCAACAAACCCGACTCTGTGCCTGATACATAAGGCGCACTGGCGATTTTTGAGAAAATGAAAGGATTTTAAGTGCGCCTTATAGTCCAAAATATACGACACTAATAATGACCCTACAGAACCAAAACCATACCAACCAAACTCCCCCCGCCCCCTCACTCACACACTCCCTTTGTAAACAGTCGTCTGTGTTCAAACTCGAGTCCCGTCTTCCCCAGCTGCCCTTCTTTATCTGCGCGTCTGTTTCCTGTGCGTTTCATCTGCTCCATTCAGAGCTGTGGCCGAGCGCGAAGGCCACTTAACGCTGCACAGACCCCCCAGACCGATGCCCCAAACCGCCCAAACACGCTCAAGAAAACCCCCCCAAAGCTCAACTCTTTCCATATGGATCCAGCTTTTTATGTTCAGATACCAATGTCGACGCTGCGGCTTTAAGTATCCGCAGAAAGTATGATTTATTTCTAAGGATGTAACAATAACCAAAATGTCGTGATATCGTATCGTTAAAGAGTTAAGGAACTACATAGACCATGATCCTTTGCTCCATTTCAGTGCAGACTACTAGTTTTTTGGATTAAGTCTTGTCAAGGCATTTTAAGAGGAAAAAGTAGCATCTTCACAGTTTTGTTCACAAAATATCGGCAATAATATTCAGTTACAGTTACTGTTTCAGTGAGTGGTAGTTGGATTACAGTTACTTTGTTGAAGTAAATGGATTACATGGCGGGATTTTCCTGTTTTCACATTTTGGGCTATATCCCCGACCTTTTTTTATTTTTTTTTTCAGTAATTACACTCATTGCTGGAAACTAAACCAGGTCTAAACCAGATTCTAAAACAGGTCTAAACTAGATCTAAACCAGGACTAAACTAGATCTAACCAGGACTAAAACCAGGTCTAAACTAGATCTAACAGGATTAAACCAGGTCTAAACTAGATCTAAACCAGGACTAAACAGGTCTAAACTAGATCTAAACCAGGACTAAAACCAGGTCTAAACTAGATCTAAACCAGACTAAACCAGGACTAAAACCAGGTCTAAAAGATCTAAACCAGGACTAAACTAAACCAGTAAACCAGTCTAAACTAGATCTAAACCAGTCTAAACCAGATCTAACAGTCTAAATAGACTAAACCAGGTCTAAACTAAATCTAAACCAGGTCTAAACTAGACTCTAAACTAAACAGACTAAACTAGATCTAAACCAGGACTAAACCAGGTCTAAACTAGATCTAAACCAGGTCTAAAACTAGATCTAAACCAGGACTAAAACCAGGTCTAAACTAGATCTAAACCAGGATCTAAACCAGGACTAAAACTAGATCTAAACCAGGATCTAAACAGGACTAAACCAGGTCTAAACTAGATCTAAACCAGGACTAAACTAAACTAAACAGGACTAAACCAGGTCTAAACTAGATCTAAACCAGGACTAAAACCAGGTCTAAACTAGATCTAAACCAGGACTAAAACCAGGTCTAAACTAGATCTAAACCAGGTCTAAACTAGATCTAAACCAGGTCTAAAACTAGACTAAACCAGTCTAAACTAGATCTAAACCAGGACTAAACCAGGTCTAAACTAGATCTAAACCAGGACTAAACCAGGTCTAAACTAGATCTAAACCAGGACTAAAACCAGGTCTAAACTAGATCTAAACTAGATCTAAACCAGGACTAAACCAGGTCTAAACTAGATCTAAACCAGGTCTAAACTAGATCTAAACCAGGTCTAAACTAGATCTAAACCAGGACTAAACCAGGACTAAACCAGGTCTAAACCAGGATCTAAAGGACTCTAAACCAGGTCTAAACTAGATCTAAACCAGGACTAAACCAGGACTAGATCTAAACCAGGCCTAAACTAGATCTAAACCAGGACTAAACCAGGTCTAAACCAGGATGAAACCCGGACTAAAACCAGGTCTAAACTAGGACTAAACCAGGACTAAAACAGGACTAAAACCAGGCTTAAACTAGATCTAAACCAGGACTAAAACAGGATTTAACAGGACTAAACGATGCTGTGTGGACCGTGTCTCTTTCTCTTCTATCAATAATATTTTTAATTTAGTTAAGTAACATCTGGGCTTTTTATTTTCTTTTATCAGACTAAACTTCTTATGTGAAGATTTCCTCGTCTTTGCTTCTCTACAGCAAATCAAGTAATCCAAAGTATTCAGATTACATTACTCACTTTAAATAACCTAATGGATTACGTTACAAACTACATTTTGGCGTGTATGTAATCTGTAATCTGTAGGGGAAAACATTTTAAAAGTCACCTTCCCAACACTGACTATCCCTGTGTCCGTGTTTATGTTTATGTTTATGTTTGTCAATCCATCGTTCACTCTGTTCGTCCTGTTCCAAGTCCACGTTTTTGATGAGTCCATGTTTCAAATGTTCGGTTTTGTCATGTGGACTTGTCCTGTGGTGGTGGTGGTGTGTTTAAGCGTCATTATTATTATCCCGTGTTTTCATATTTATATTGTACACACAGTTCAGCTGAGGCGGCTCATGTTCGGTCACGTGACTCCATGAGAAAGTACGAGGAAGAAGAGGTTGGGGAGCAGGTCCGGGCCTGGTCTCCACGTGAATCCTAATATGATTTTGGAGTTTCCTCACACCTCAGTTTAGTGGCAGATCAAAAATAATCGTGGACTTGACAACAGTGCAGGAGAGTCGGGCGCAGTAGAAGCGTCTGTAATGTGGCTGACAGATAAACAGACGGTCCAGATGACGACCAGATGAAACATTTGTACCAAAATAAAACCGCGTACACGACCAAACTACTTTCTCGTCTTCTCTCTCTGCGTCTGCAACGTGAAACCTAAACACGTTTTCAGACAAACTTAATTAAACCCTGGTGTTTCGACACACGGTCCCACAAACCACAAACCACAAACCTGCAACGTCGAGTAAACAGACCTGAGACCTGAGGCCAAGACAGAGACCTGAGGCCTGAGACCTGAGACCTGAGACCTGAGAGACCGAGACCTGAGACCTGAGACCTGAGACCGAGACCTGAGACCTGAGACCTGAGACCTGAGACCTGAGACCTGAGACCTGAGACCTGAGAGACCAGAGAGAGACCTGAGACACAGAGACCGAGACCGAGACCGAGAGAGACCTGAGACCTGAGACCTGAGACCGAGACCTGAGACCTGAGACCTGAGACCGAGACCGAGACCTGAGACCCGAGACCTGAGACCGAGACACAGAGACCCGAGACCCGAGACCCGAGACCCGAGACCCGAGACCCGAGACCCGAGAGACCCGAGACCCGAGACCTGAGACAGACTCACAACCTGATCCAGGTGTTTATGACAGGAGCAAGACAGGAGTACAGGCCATCTGACAGGAGCAGAGACTCTCTGACAGGAGCAAAACAGGAGCAAAGAGGAGCTGACAGGAGCAAAGAGTCTGACAGGAGCAAAACAGGAACAGAGATGAGCTGACAGGAGCAGAGATGAGCTGACAGGAGCAAAGATGATATGACAGGAGCAAAGAGTCTGACAGGAGCAAAACAGGAGCAAAGAGGGTCTGACAGGAGCAGAGACCATCTGACAGGAGCAAAACAGGAGCAGAGATGAGCTGACAGGAGCAGATAGAGTCTGACAGGAGCAGAGAGGATCTGCCAGGAGCAAGACAGGAGTATAGACGATCTGACAGGAGCAGAGTGAGTCTGACAGGAGCAGATTTGGTCTGACAGGAGTAGAGTGGGTCTGACAGGAGCAGAGAGGGTCTGACAGGAGCAAGACAGGAGCAGAGACCATCTGACAGGAGCAGAGACCATCTGACAGGAGCAAAACAGGAGCAGAGACTATCTGACAGGAGCATAGACGAGCTGACAGGAGCAGAGATGAGCTGACAGGAGCAGAGATGAGCTGACAGGAGCAAAACAGGAGCAAAGAGGGTCTGACAGGAGCATAGACGATCTGACAGGAGCAAAACAGGAGCAGATAGAGTCTGACAGGAGCAGAGATGAGCTGACAGGAGCAGAGACCATCTGACAGGAGCAAGACAGGAGTAGAGTGAGTCTGACAGGAGCAGATTTGGTCTGACAGGAGCAGAGACCATCTGACAGGAGTTTCAGCAGGTATCAGATTGGTACATCCTTAGACTGGACTAGAGAAAATCAGTCAGGAGTAAAGTTGGTCTGACAGGAGCAGATGATGTCAGTGAAGCTGGTGGATCCTCAGAGTCAGAGTCTGGTTCAGGGTCTGGTTCAGGGTCTGGTTCAGGGTCTGGTTCAGGGTCTGGGTCTGGGTCAGGGTCAGAGTCAGATTGGTGGAGACTCGGTGCAGTTCTGATGTTTTCTGCCTGAATCTTTCTTCATAAACCGCAGTGACTCCTCCTGCAGAGTCACGACAGGCGCAGCTTTATCTGATTTATCGTAAACGACAAAAACATGAAGTGAGTGTGGGAGGAATGTGGACGAGTCACTGAATCTCCGGACGATGACCCGGTTCTGTTGTGATTCAGTTCCTCTTGATCACAGCTCAGTGACGTCAAACTCCACTCAACAACAACAACATCATCATCTTCTCCTGCTCGATCTGGTCCAGGGTTCAGGTCTCATTTCTCCGTGAGTCCAGATTTATCACGATTTCTTCTTCCGTTCTTCTTGTTTTGTTCCAGACCGGGGCGTGAGCGGCACCAGCGAGGAGAAGCCCGCAGACGGAGAGCACGGAGGGGGGCACAGGCCGGACATGAACCCCATCATCAACTCCACCTCCACCCCGGGGATGTCGCTCATCAGCAACGCCCTGGCAGCCTACACCTACGTATCAGGTAAAACACAACGGGATTTTGGTATTTATTTAAAAAATAAAAAAAGAATGAGCATAAAATTCAACCAGGGATTTTGTTGCTGCACATAAAACAATGTGTTTATTGTAAAACAGGACTAAACCAAAACTGAACCAGGACTGAACCAGGTCTACACCAGGACTAAACCAGGAATGAGTGTCGGGACGGAGGTGCGCCCGTGTAGACTGTCAGGTGACCGTGAGCAAAAAGACCGGTGCAGAGCTCCGCCCCCTCTCTCTCTCAAGTCCAAGATTAGTCCTGGTTTAGTTCTGGTTTAGACGTGGTTTAGTCCTGGTTTAGTCCTGATTTAGTCCTGGTTTAGACCTGGTTTAGTCTTGGTCTAGTGTTGTTTTAAATGTGGTTTCGTCCTGGTTTAGTCCTGGTTTAGTCCTGGTTTAGTCCTGACCTGGTTTAGTCCTGGTTTAGTTCTGGTTTAATCCTGGTTTAGACGTGGTTTAGTCCTGGTTTAGACCTGATTTAGTCCTGGTTTAGTCCTGGTTTAGACCTGGTTTAGACCTGGTTTAGTCTTGGTCTAGTGTTGTTTTAAACGTGGTTTCGTCCTGGTTTAGACCTGGTTTAGTCCTGGTTTAGACCTGATTTAGTCCTGGTTTAGTTCTGGTTTAATCCTGGTTTAGACGTGGTTTAGTTTAGTCCTGGTTTAGACCTGATTTCGTCCTGGTTTAGTCCTGGTTTAGACCTGGTTTAGTTCTGGTTTAGACTTGGTTTAGTTCTGGTTTAGACCTGGTTTAGTCTTGGTCTAGTCTTGTTTTAAACATGGTTTAGTCCTGGTTTAGACCTGGTTTAGTCCTGGTTTAGACCTGATTTAGTCCTGGTTTAGTTCTGGTTTAATCCTGGTTTAGACGTGGTTTAGTCCTGGTTTAGTCCTGGTTTAGTTTAGTCCTGGTTTAGTCCTGGTTTATTTAGTCCTGGTTTAGTCCTGGTTTAGTCCTGGTTTAGTCCTGGTTTAGTCCTGGTTTATTTAGTCCTGGTTTAGTCCTGGTTTAGTCCTGGTTTAAGTTCTGGTTTAGTTAGTCCTGGTTTAGTCCTGGTTTGGTCCTGGTTTAAACCTGGTTTAGTCCTGGTTTAGTCCTGGTTTAGACCTGTTTATTTTTTCTGGTTTAGTTCTGGTTTAGTCCTGGTTTAGACCTGATTTATTTCTGGTTTAGTTCTGGTTTAGACCTGGTTTAGACCTGATTTACTTCTGGTTTAGTTTGAAAAGCTCTGCTCTAGTGTTTATAATTTTTTTTACAATTGAGATAAAAATACTTAAGCGTTTGAATGTTTGTTTAATTCTTACTTTATTAATCCCTTGTCATGGAAATTACAGCGAAGTCCAATAAAAAAGGTTTTAAGCAGAGACATTTTCGTACGTCGTATTCTGACATTCGTCGTATTCTGATTCGAGGTATTTGAGTAAATTCCTGCGTGTCGTCTGTGGGCAGGAGGTGAGTGAACGTGGGTGGAATGTGTGAGCGACGACTGGCTTATGTCTCAGGTTTTTACTGGCGCTTTTATGAGCAGGAAATAAAGCTTTATGGACACTCAAACTAAGTGCTGGGCTCATGGCGATGGGAGGAGTGGAGAGAGTCGACTGTCTCAGGTACAGATACAACTCAGGGTTTTTTTTTTTTAGCTTTGTGTTAAAACGGGAGATTCCACATTCAATTCTTTGGAATAAACACAAAATTTACACTAGTAGTTTTCACACTAGTGTAATGAATCTGACTCACTATTTTACAGAGTTGTTTTGGCTTTTGTTACATGCCAATCTCTGTGGACATTTTGCACTGTTGCTATAAAAAGTGACAGATTTTGGTAATAACTTTTTTTTTTTTTTTTATGTTAATTTACAAGGCAAAGGAGAAATTTGTCAACTGGAAAAGTTATTTTGGTTGAATACGTCCCTCAGCTCATCCAAGCTGTTTCTTCAGTTGTGGTCAGACGCTGTTGAACACTTCCTTATATCAGGGAGGAGCTAACTACACTGAAACTACTCTAAAACTACTTGTTTACAGTTTCTGTTTGTAGCTCGTTCTATTGAACTTTCACTGAGTGTGGACTCCAGTTAGCAGAATCATTTCACACTCAGTGCAGTTCAATGGGCCGAGCTACAAACAGAAACTGTAAAGAAGCAGGTGTGATAGTTTCAGAGTAGTTTCAGTGTAGTTATCTCCTCTCTTTAGGCAGTTATAAGGAAGTGTCCATCAGCGTCTGACCAGAACTGAAGAAGCAGCTTGGATGAGATGAGACACATATTCGACTAAAATAACTTTAATCCAGTTGACCAATTTGAATTTCTCCTTTGCCCTGGATTCTACCTGGACGACTGAGGGATTTTACACACATCTTCCCCGTCGCTATATCGCAGTTCACTTTTCACTGTCTCGCTGTTTTGCAACTTTTTGAGTGCAATTTTGCATGCCTTTTTTTTTTTTTTACAGTGTATAAGTAAGTCTTTTATTTATATCGCGCTTTCACAGACAATTTCTGTCCCCAAAGACGCTTTACAGAGCATTATTCAGCATTTATTCATACAGCATTATTCATTCACTCTATACCCTGGTGATGGTAAACTGCTATTGTAGCCACAGCTGCCCTGGGGCACACTGACAGAAGCGCGGCTGCCATGCCACTCGGCGCCATCAGTCCCTTCGACCACCACCATCACTCACACACACACCACTTTCATACTAGGCAATGTGGGCGAAGTGTCTGTATAAACGTGTATTGCGTTCCTCCTGCTGCGTCCTGATTGGCTAAGAGACTCCTGTCTCCTGTACTGTACAGAATGTGTTCAGCTGCCAAATTTACATAAATGCTGGATCTGTATCAGTGTGATTCTGTAGTGCTGCGTGTTTGCAAGTTTTCTCCTCGACAAAACCCACAATGTAAACAAAATGTTCTGCACTGACAAAGGCTCCTGCGGTCGCAACCAAAAGGCAGAGGAAGATGCTGTACCCATCGCACAAAAAGTTGTGAAAAGACTTCTGGACATTAGAAGTTACGCGGCTGTAGCAGAGTCCTGCACTGGGTCGGGTACCCGCAAATAGTTGCAAAACCAGGACTTAAAAGAGAGAAATGCGAGCCCTCACAACAGGGTGTCCATGAAGCGCGATCGGGCTATGGCCGCGTTTACCTTCGTGAGGTGCAGAGTTGAGTCGGTCCTTTCTTCTGCGGTCACCTCCAAGCCTGTCCCGAGAGTGAGTCCTGTTTCAGTCCTGGTTTAGTCCTCCTCTTCAGTCCTGGAATCAGTCCTGGGTTAATCTTGGTTCAGTCTGTGGCGTGTGCAGCTCAAAAGTTTGATATAATCTCGGGTTAACGGGCGGGTGCGGTGCTGTACTGCACGGTCCAGGACTCTGCTGTGTAAGGCTCTATCACGGAATAAATTCATCTTCGGTTTGTTACATAATGGAAGAAAATAACAAAAGGACGACAGCAGCAATAAGTTTTAAGAAGGATTTAAAACGTGTTGTAAGTGTTCTGTGTGAGAAAAATGTATAAAGATTGTGCTGAGAGGTTTTACAGACTTAAAACAAATATAATAATTGTAAAATATAAAGTTGAGTACTTTGTAGATTTCACCTATCGTGGGTTATTTACTGTACATAAAATTCCACAAATATTTTTTTATTTTAAAATCAGCCAACCTGTAGATGAACAGTTCAAGGAGTTTCAATAATGTCCCTGATTGTGGCATTATTCAGGTATGTAAGTGAACACAACCTCAGTATTGACCAAACTGACTCAGTCCTTCTCTCCCGCAGATCACCCGGAGCGAGCTGCGCTGTTCTTCGTCATCGGCATCTGTCTGGGCCTCTTCCTCACGCTCTTCGCTCTGGTGCTGCAGATCTCGTGCCGCACAGACTGCCCGCCCCGACAGCAGCGCCCCCCGGCGAAGAAACGCAGCGGGCGCCCCCTGGACTCCTCCACGGACTCCAGTGACTCGGACTCGGACTGGGACACGGCCTCGGACCTGTCGGCTCGCAGGCACCGGCGCTTTGAACGCACCCTCAACATGAACGTGTTCACCTCGGCCGAAGAGCTGGAGAGAGCCCAGAGACTCGAGGAACGCGAGAGGATCATCCGGGAAATCTGGATGAACGGACAACCGGACATTCCAGGGACCAGGAGCTTGAACCGATATTACTGATTTTTGCTTTATTTTATTGTTTTTTTGTGCTGAACCATCCTCTAATGCTGCCGTCTGGAGTAATGGGCGACCACAGTTGGGTAAACGGCCAAGAGTACCTACCTGGAGGATTAACGTTCTTCAGGATTCGAACCCGGTAGGCGACCTCAACGCAGAACCTTGAGGAACCTTCTCCAAATCTACGTAAACGGCCCAGAGTACCTACCTGGAGGATTAACGATAAGCCTACTGTGCAAGTTTTAAGATGGGCACTTCCTAGAAGACACAAGGAGAACATCCAAACTCCTCAAAGTTCTCAAGTGCTCCAGGATTCGACCTCAGCGCAGCACTCAAGGAACCTTCTCCAAATCTGGGTAAACGGCCAAGAGTACCTACCTGGAGGATTAACAGCAAGCTTACTGTGCATGTTTTAAGATGAGCACCTACCAGAAGATACAAGGAGAACCTTCAAGCTCCTCAAAGTTCTCCAGGATTCGAACCCCGTAGGCGACCTCAACGCAGAACTCGAGGAACCTTCTCCAATCTGGGTAAACGGCCAAGAGTACCTAGCTGGAGGATTAACAATAAGCCTACTGTGCATGTTTTAAGATGAGCACCTGGCTGAAGACTTAAGGAGAACACGCAAACTCCTCAAAGTTCTCCAGGATTCGAACCCGGCAGGCGACCTCAACGCAGAACCTTGAGGAACCTTCTCCAAATCTGGGTAAATGGCCAAGAGTACCTAGAATCCAAGGAACCGTCTCCGAATCTGGGTAAATTATCGCGAGTACCGAGCGTGAACCTAGAGAACACCCAACCAGATACGAGGAGAACATGCAAACTCCGCAGAGAAAGGCCCTACGCACTCCAGGATTCTCTGATTTTATATGCAAAAAAAAAGAAAAATGTGCCGCGACACCACAATAATTCAGCGGACGGAATCAAGGAATTGTATGCAATTTTTACCGACGACATAAGCTTGAACTTGTAAATGCTAGGAAAAGCCATGTGTAGCTATGGTTTTCGTTAAAAAAAAGCTAAATTAAACATTCGCTGAAGGACTTTAAGAGAAAAAGCTTTTATTTTGAAAGGCAGCTCAAAATGGACGCCAGTATTCCGAACTCTTTTTCGACAATCGCTCCACATGCTGCCTTACGAACTCCAACCAAAATGGGAATTCATCTCAGCCCGTATATTAAGGTCTATTTTATAATATTTAATAGTTTATTGTGTTTTTTTTTTTTTTTGCGCTCATGTATTTGCTTTATTATGAAATATTTTTATACTTGGCAAAGGTTGTCCGGCACCTCAGGGACGCAATCCTAGTGTTTGTTTTCGCTCCGTGTTTTTGCTTCGTACAGACGCTTTGAAAATGCCATGTCATCGGAATGTGCAAAATTCCCGAATGGAGGCGACTGGAGCCAATGGAAGTATAAACCGTAAAATGTTTTTAATGATTAACCGATTAACGGATCTAAATGCGAACGGTTTAAAGTCGGTTTAGCAAAAAAATAAACCAGCATTTTGGTTAAAGAGGGAATGTTGCGCAAAATTTCTTCCGTGTTTTATTGTTGTTTCTTCATCAAAAACGTGCCTGAAGAGGTTTTAGAGTCGTCCGTGCATGTTTGAATCATCTAGAGATCTCTCCCTGGCTCTAATTCGAACCCTCCGTACAGTTAGATGGAAGATTCTGTACAAGGCTCCGCCCACAAGTCTCATCACCCACACTCCCGCGCGACAATTCTCCATAAATAAACAAAAACATGATACAAAACTGTACAGTACAACTTCACAAACCTGGTTTTAGGAGCACATATCCAAGTGTCCTGGGTCACATTTGAAAAAATCGAATCTGTGTGGTTCAGACTGTCATTAAAAGATCAGATACAGGAACATAGGGGCCAAAAAATCGGATTTGGGTCACTTCAGGCTGCAGTCTGAACGCTGTCAACTCTTCTATAAATACTCATATACTGTGACTTTTTAAGCACAGTTTAGTTTAAAATTCATATAAACTGCAAAAATCTTAACTCTAGTTGTTATTTTGGTTTAAAGATTTGAAATGACTTGAAGCTCAAAGCAGACGACTTGGACTTGACTTGGACTTATGGGCCAGCGGCTCGAGACTCGACTCGGACTTGCCTGTGTTTGACTCGGGACTTGAGGTCAAAGACTTGAAACAACGACTTGGTCCCACCTCTGTGACCACGTTCCAATGTAACTCAACGGGAGCCAGGGTCAGAAGGAGCCAGAAGAGCCACAGCGGCCAGTGTGCGTTTGCTTTGTCCGTTTAAATACACAGTTTACGGGTTTGTGAAGTTGTTGCGCACAGTTTTGTATCACGTTTTTGTACATTTATGGAGGATTGTCGCGTGGGAGCGAAGGTGACGTCGACTTTTGGACGGAGCATTGCACTGAATCTTACAGGGTTTGTATAGGACCCTGGAGAGATCACTAGATTACACAAACATGCATGGACGACATATTTTTGATGAGAAAACAAATGTTAAAAAGCTCCAAGAAGTACATGTTGCGTAACGCCGCCTCTTTAAATAAACAAATAACGTAATCTGTTCAAGTATCCGAGTGGTTTTCATTTGCCAAAAACCCTCTTGATCTTTCATTCTTTTCATACTTTGCGATATTCCGCGGTCAATCCCAGTTTTCCCGTCGAAATCACACGACGTTCAGTTTCCGTTTTGCCTCCAGCCGCCTCCAGTGTGCGATTTTGAATGTTTTTGTTTACAGTTTTTTAAAAGGTTTAGAAGAACATTTTTACAAAAGCTGTCACAGACCCACAACGTTTATTTCATACTTTAAACCTCAAAGGAGATTTTACAGTGATGTTTAAAGGTGCACTGTGTAACTTTTCTAAAAGAGGGTCCGCCACCTGCTTGGAGATGTTACTGCTTTGCTCGGAATGTCCCACAGTATGGCATTAAACGTGTATAGAAGTCATGGGATTTGACGAGTGTGGTAATTGCTCAGAAAAAGTCTTTAAGAACGTGGATCCGTGTGTCATTTTTTCATTCGTTTTTTAATATAAAACCAAAAATAAGAAATGGAAAAACAACAATTTTCTTCATTATTTGTCTCCAAAACTAAAATGAAAAAACAGATAATCAGTTTTTTTCAGTTTCTGATTTTGTGTTTAAATGAAAAATGGAAAAAAAAACGGATAACGACGATTTCCCGTTTACGTGACTTAAACTGCGGTGCGGGACTTTTGTGCCACATACGGACTGAACCAGGACTAATCCAGGTCCAGAACCAGACCGGGACTGAGACCAGGACTTAGACCGGGACTAGACAAGGACTGAGTTCGGGATCAGGACCGGGACTGAGACCAGGATCTGACCAGAACTGAGGCCGGGGCTGAGACCAGGACCAGACCAAGACTGAAAATGGTTTAGTCCAGTTTTAGTCCCGTTTTAGTCCCGGTTTAGTCCTATTTCAGTCCTGTTTTAGTCCTGTTTTAGTCCTGTTTTAGTCCTGGTTTAGTCCCGGTTTAGTCCCGGTTTAGTCCCGTTTTTGTCCAGGTTTAGTCCTGGTTTAGTCCTTGTTTAGTCCTTGTTTAGTCCCGTTTTAGTCCCGTTTTTGTTCAGTTTTAGTCCAGTTTTAGTCCTGGTTTAGTCCTGGTTTAATCCTGTTTTAGTCCTGGTTTAATCCTGTTTTAGTCCTGGTTTAATCCTGTTTTAGTCCTGGTTTAGTTCTATGTTAGTCCTGGTTTAGTCCTGTTTTAGTCCTGGTTTAGTCCTTGTTTAGTCCTGTTTAGTCCGGTTTAGTCCGTTTAGTTTTAGTCCGTTTTAGTCCTGTTTAGTCCGTTTTAGTCCGTTTTAGTCCTGTTTTAGTCTGTTTTAGTCCTGTGTTTTAGTCCCGTTTTATCGTTTAGTCCCGTGTTTAGTCCTGTTTTAGTCCCGTTTTAGTCCTTTTAGTCCTGTCCTGTTTTAGTCCTGGTTTAGTCCTGGTTTAGTCCTGTTTGTTTAGTCGTTTTAGTCTGTTTAGTCCGTTTTATCCTGGTTAGTCCAGTTTAGTCCTGGTTTAGTCCTTTGTTTTAGTCCGTTTTAGTCCTGGTTTAGTCCTGGTTTAGTCCTGTTTTATACCTGAGAAAAATGAGTCTAGTTCTGACCTCCTCAGTGGAGATACCAGACGTTTAAAGCCACACGGTGCAACATTCTTCTGTAAAAAAGCAGGCGGCAGAAACTCCACTAGAAATTATAAATTACCTGACGCATCTTTAGGTCCAATATCAATATTTTTTATGCTTCTACCGTGTTAAGACGTTTACTCACCAGAACATTCAGAAAAGTTCAGGTTTGTTTGTTTAATTTGGACATTTTAGTTGCACATCGAGTCCTTCGCCCTCAGATGACACACCCCAAAATGTAGTTTGTAACGTAATCCATTCAATTACTTAAAGTGAGTAATGTAATCTGAATACTTTGGATTACTTGGTTTGTTGTAGAGAAGCAAAGATGAGGAAATCATAACCTAAGATGTTTTGTCTGATAAAAGAAAATAAAAAGCCCAGACTTTAATTAACCAAATTAAAAATATTATTGATAGAAGACGAGGAGACACAGTCCGTTAGTCAGCAGGATTTAGTCCTTTAATTCCTGTTTTAGACCTTAGTTTAGACCTGGTTTAGACTTAGTTTTAGTTTAGACTGGTTTAGACCTTTTGGTTTAGACTCAGTTTAGACCTGGTTTAGACTTAGTTTAGACCTGGTTTAGACTTAGTTTAGACCTGGTTTAGACTTAGTTTAGTCCTGGTTTAGACTTAGTTTAGACTGGTTTAGACCTGGTTTAGACTTAGTTTAGACCTGGTTTAGACTCAGTTTAGACCTGGTTTAGACTTAGTTTAGACCTGGTTTAGACTCAGTTTAGACCTGGTTTAGACTTAGTTTAGACCTGGTTTAGACTTAGTTTAGTCCTGGTTTAGACTTAGTTTAGACCTGGTTTAGACTCAGTTTAGACCTGGTTTAGACTTAGTTTAGACCTGGTTTAGACTTAGTTTAGACCTGGTTTAGACTTAGTTTAGACCTGGTTTAGACTTAGTTTAGACCTGGTTTAGACTTAGTTTAGACCTGGTTTAGACTTAGTTTAGACCTGGTTTAGACTAGTTTAGACCTTCGTTTAGACTTAGTTTAGACTTAGTTTAGACCTGGTTTAGACCTGGTTTAGACTCAGTTTAGACTGGTTTAGACTCAGTTTAGACCTGGTTTAGACTCAGTTTAGACTTGGTTTAGACTTAGTTTAGACCTGGTTTAGACTTAGTTTAGACTTGGTTTAGACTTAGTTTAGACCTGGTTTAGACTTAGTTTAGACCTGGTTTAGACTTAGTTTAGACCTGGTTTAGACCTGGTTTAGACTCAGTTTAGACCTGGTTTAGCTCAAATTGGTCAAAAATAGAGACACGTGGGACATTTCTTGTGTCAAACTGGGACAGATCAGTGGTTTTGTGTAAATCTGCTGGGACGGGGACACAGGACTCAAAACTGGGACTGTCCCGGGTCAATAGGAACGTCCGGTCGCCTTGTCTTAGTCTAACTTCGCAGACTTGCACGTTTTCTGTCGCGTTTATAACCTCGTTCTCGCTAAACAAAAATGTAAATCGTAAACATGATGCGGATTTGACCTGGAAGCGACGTCGCACTTTCAAACACGTCCATGTCCATACGGAATGTTCCCAAGTGTGGTTTTAACTTTCTAATTTCACGGAATCATCAGGAGAAAGTTACACACTGTGTCTTTAACCACTGAAACGTCAACAAGCGCTGCTTCTTTTCTGCTGTACGATCGAGTCAGACTTTTAAACGTGCTTTTAAAATCCAAAACGCTGCTCTCGACTCTGCGCTTTCGTTCTCAATCATCCCTATACCTAAACCCTTTTTTTTTTTTTTTTTTTTTTTTTTTTTTTTTTGGTAATTCCACTCGTTGCCGGACACTAAATCAGGACTAAATCAGGATTTAACCAGGTCTAAACCAGGAATAAACCAGGACTAAACCAGGAATAAACAGGCAGGCTAAACCAGGTTACAGGACTAAACAGGCTAAAACCAGGTCTAAACCTAGGACTAAAACCAGGTCTAAACCAGGACTAAACCAGGACTAAAACCAGGTCTAAAACCAGGTCTAAAACCAGGACTAAACCAGGCTAAAACCAGGTCTAAACCAGGACTAAAACCAGGATAAAACCAGGTCTAAACTGGGGCTAAAACCAGGTCTAAACCAGGACTAAAACCAGGCTAAAACCAGGTCTAAACCAGGTCTAAAACAGGACTAAACCAGGGCTAAAAAAACTAGGTCTAAACCTAAACAGGCTAAACCAGGACTAAAACCAGGTCTAAACCAGGGCTAAAACCAGGTCTAAAACAGGACTAAACCAGGTCTAAACCAGGACTAAAACCAGGTTATAAAACCAGGTCTAAACAGGTCTAAACCAGGACTAAACCAGGTCTAAACCAGGGCTAAAACCAGGTCTAAAACAGGACTAAACCAGGTCTAAACCAGGACTAAAACCAGGTCTAAACCAGGGATAAAACCAGGTCTAAACTGGGTCTAAACTGGGTCTAAACCAAGACTAAACCAGGACTAAAACCTGGACTAAAACCAGGGCTAAACTAGATCTAAACCAGGACTGAAACAGGATTTAACAGGACTAAATCCTGCTGTGTGGTCCGTGTCTCCTCTTCTTCTATCAATAATATTTTTAATATGGTTCAGTAAAGTCTGGACTTTCACATTTTATGTGAAAATATCCGAGTCTTTTCTTCTCTACAGCAAATCAAGTAATCCAAAGTATTCAGATTACATTACTCACTTTAAGTAATTTAATGGATTCTGTTACAAACTACATTTTGGTGTATGTAATCTGTAATCTGTAGGGGAAAACATTTTAAAAGTCACCTTCCCAACACTGACTATAAATGCTTTAATAATATAGAAAATGTAACATGACAGAACACGAGTCTCAAATCTGCCAAAGTAAGTGGAGCGACGTCGCCATCTGGTGGTGAACACAGAGACAACGTCAACAAGCGCTTCTTCTTTTCCGCTGTACGATCGAGTCAGACTTTTAAACGTGCTTTTAAAATCCAAACCGCTGCTCTCGACTCTGCGCTTTCGTTCTCGATCATCCCCACGAATCATCCCTGCCCCGACGCCTTTGAGCACATAAGCTACTGGAGATCCACGAGCAAAGAAAAGATCTCGTTTTTTTTTTTTTTTTTTAATGAATGCTGGAGGTTTTTTTTTTGTTTTTTCCTGCGTGTGGATTCATGTGTTTGTGTTGGACTGGGGATTCTAAAAGTGCCAAGAGCTTCAGCGAGGTGAGACCAAATATATGACTCCTGTGCCTGGAATAAAGTGTTGGATTAAAGGAAAAAAAACTGTCTCTGCGTGTGTTTTTTTTTTTTTTGGTAATTCCACTCGTTGCCGGACACTAAATCAGGACTAAATCAGGATTGAACCAGGACTGAACCCAGGTCTAAAGCAGGACTAAACCAGGTCTAAAGTCTAAACCAGGACTAAACCAGGTCTAAACCAGGACTAAACTGGGGCTAAAACCAGGTCTAAACCAGGTCTAAACTGGGGCTAAACTGGGGCTAAAACCAGGTCTAATCCAGGTCTAAACCAGGTCTAAACCAGTCTAAACCAGGTCTAAACCAGGTCTAAACCAGGTAAAGTCTAACCAGGTCTAAACAAGTCTAAAACCAGGACTAAACCAAAGTCTAAACCAGGACTAAAACCAGGCTAAACCAGGTCTAAACCATAAAAAGACTAAAACCAGGTCTAAACCAGGACTAAACCAGGACTAAAACAAGGTAAACCAGGTCTAAAACCAGGTCTAAACAGGACTAAACCGGTCTAACCAGGACTAAACCAAGTCTAAACCAAGACTAAAACCCTAAAACCAGGACTAAAACCAGGTCTAAAAAACAGGCTAAAACCAGGTCTAAACCAGGTCTAAACCAGAGGCTAACCAGGTCTAGTCTAACCAGGTCTAAACAGGGCTAAACAGGATAAAACCAGGTCTAAACCAAGACTAAAACCTGGACTAAAACCTGGACTAAAACCAGGGCTTGGATTAAAGAAAAAACTGTCTCTGCGTGTGTTTTTTTTATACAAATCAGGTTCACTTGTTTATGAAATCACAGACAGAGGTGGGGAGTGTTTAGTTACATTTACTCAAGTACTTTTTAAAGGTCCTGTATTACGCAAAACGGACTCCCTGAGCTTTAAGTCGT